ATAAATAACTGAGGAATTTAATCGTAAATTTGACAAGTATCGCCTGTTATAACTTTAAAACGGGGTTTGGTGTGTCTTCGCTGCCTGATATCTTTGCAGCAATTTTTTGGCCAGGAATAAAATTGTATTAAAAAATGCTGACACAGGGCCAAACACACACGAGCAGGCTTATTTAAAAATTTGCTCATTTAAACTTTTTACTCAACAAAACAACGTTCTTTATGTAAAATCATCGGAGGTAAAATAAATGAATGTTTTCATTTTTTTTTATCCATATTAAATTAAAAAATGACGAACGTAACGTAACCTTATTTCTGAAGCAATGCGTTGCCGCGTCGTCTTCACAGAAATACAGATTCGTTTTTCATGTGAATATATAGTTATTCTTTTTATTAAGATTGAGTGTGCATTAGGTATTAATGTAGGTATCTTATGTACTCTGCTGAGTGATATTCTTTACCGAGACAAAAATCACATTGTAGTGTTTCACTTATGCCCGGGATCCACAAAAGCAAAAGGAGATGAGACTAGAATAGATGAGATGAGCTGCGAATCTGGCAGGTTATTTCCACCAAAGCGGAGAGGAGATGCGTAGCGGAGAGGAGAAGTGAACAGAGATGTAAGCTGTGAGAGCTCGAAACCAGTCAAGTACTTTACTGTCAAATCCAGTCAGTCAAGTCACTATAGCTACGAAAGGACGATGTCATTTCGTTACAATAGTCATATCTTAATTTGCTTGAGGAAGAGTAACTAGAGGTTGAAGGAATACGATTAATTCATCAATATTTAAATGATCGACGGCAACATAGATTATGGATAAGAAACCACATTATAAAATGTCACAGTCATATGGCGAATATGCCACACTATTTCAAGAGTTTGCTGAGAGAACGCTGGCGCCCGCCCGGCCGCTAACTGCACACATCTCCGCTCTGCCGCGCCGCTTGCTTAATAGTGATAGTGATAATGTGACCACCTCGTGAGTATACCGAATCTTTTGATTACAAAAAGAATTTTGAAAATCGGTCCACTATTGACGTAGATATTGCGTAACAAACATACAAGAAAAATGAAGTCGAATTGAGAACCTCTTCTTTTGTGTTTTTGAAGTCGGTAAAAAATTTAGTAATTGTGTTAGTTAATAACTAAAATGACATGTGTATACCATTTTGATTGTTTGTGTTAAAGAATGTTTACCGCCATCTAGACTAAAATTAAAAAAACTTCGTGAGTGTTAACTCTTTGATTCCTCAACAGATTAAATTTTAGTTATGTTTGCTATTCGACGCTAGATGGCGCATTAAGAAAATGCATCAGTTGACTGCAAATTGTTATGAATTCAAATTTTTAAATTTAGGTACATATATAATAACGCCCAATGTATTATATTCAATAATGAACGAGAACTAATTCGATTAATAGGTATAGCATTCTTAACTTTCAATTGACGTTTCGACTAAGGTTTCACTCAAACACGGCCGTGTTTAGGCAGCTGGTTCAACGTTGTACAGCGTGACATAATTCAAATACCACACTCTCAAACGTAGCACTTATATAGATAGTTAGGTCGGCTGTATAGTGCAATGTAAGGACTTGGCGACCGTTAAGTTGAGTAGCGAGTTCATCGACCATAATGTTACCGCCTTGTAGGCACTTTCTATCGCCCCTCTTGTCGTGTTTTTTACAGCTTGAGTTATTTAGTGAATTGTACAGCTCTGTATCGAAGTTTGTTTTCAAGTGTGGAATTCTTTCTATGTCCTGACAGAACTTTTAATTTCGATAACGATTGCAAGCGAATTTTACATTTACATATGGCAGGGTAGATTCTATTAATTTGTTATTCAAATAAGAATGTTTGTTAGGATTATTACTTGGTTAACGTGGAGGCTTTTAAGTTTTGGAGGGAACTTTACTCGTGGGTTTTTTTAGTTTGGAATACCCTTAACAGTGAAGTTTCGTGTCCATGAATACTTACATAATTTTAATTTGAAACCGTTTTCATCAGGTGCAGATGTGATCCTGTCAAACATTTAGGAATTTTGTTATAAAATATTTTAGCCTGTGGCATTTAAGCTAAAACTTATTTTTTGTTTTGTAATATTTAATTGAAAAAGGAAATGGATCTTATGGCCTGCTTGGTAATTTAATAGTGTAAAAAGAAACAACGTAATTTGCGAGACTAGTGTATTTTTCAAAATTGACTTATTTTCTAAGAAAACCATAGAAGCCAAGATTTTTAAGCGTAAATTACATTATCAAATATACAAGAAGTCCTTGTGCAATAACTATAAACAACACCTTAATTTAGTAGTATAATACTCGTCGAAGATTTCGCTCACAACAATTTAGCACTCCCTTCAATTTCCTATTCATGCCCAATCCATTCCAAATTACATTATGAAACTGTATAAATAGCTCACAATCCTTAATCACAGACACGGGATAAATTTAGTGGCATTATTTAACCGTAAATGTATTTTTATCAGAAAATAATTACACCAAATTGTATATGTATATTACTAACACAATAATTGAAATGGATCACACTTTCTAGCTATGTCCCTTGAAGAAGCTTTCAACAAAGTTATACAAAGATAAAAAATCATTTTGCAAGTAATACTTAAATAGTAATGATTTTGTGATATACTGAAATTACTTAGTACAACTACGTACGTTAAAATGAACACAGTGTTTGGTAGATCTGTGCATTCTTGATCAACTAATTACTACTAAATGCAATCTGAGTGAATATTTGCTCTACCACACGATATTTCTACATGATTGCACCGGGTTGTTACTAATAACGATAATATTAAAATAATAACCTGGGACACATTACACTTCGTTATCTAAACCCAAACTTATAGCTTGTACAGAAAACGAAAAACCAAGACCTGGCGTGTCAGTTAATGCACTACCATCACGACGGGCCATGGTGGTTGTGGTGATGGTCCCAAAAATATTTACTGCAATACTTGCCCCCTAGTTTCAATTTAAGTATAGGTACAATGGAAACATTTTCAAATCTTGGGACGTTTACATTTCCTCGGTGGTATTAATAATTTAATTTTTGTTATCTTGGTCTAAATAATTATACAAAACAAATTGGAACATAAATAGTTAATATTAATTTGAAATTAAATTATTGTTTATCTAAATAAAACTAAACTAAAATTATGTCCTAAGAGTATTTTTTAAACCTTTTCATTAATGTCTTCGTACCATAAAGCTTTTACATCAATTGGATATCGTTATAAAAAGGCAGAAGCTTAAATGTCTTTCAAATTTCTAAATACCTATAAGATTATACGTTTGTCTGAACTGAGAAGAACTCTTAAGTACACTAGGTTCCGATAACGTATCTACATTCGGGACATACTTTATTTTTGAATATATTTTCTAATCACCGATTTAATACTCCTATGTTATAATAGTTAAAACATATACGAAATTAACAAATCAAGTAACACAATTTGTTATCTGATTTTACAAACACTGAAACTATCGAATGTCAAAATTGACGTCCAATTCCATTTTGGCATCTCAAAGCACAAAAAAGGTGTGCATTCACTAACTGAATTCACACCCAACGAGCGACTTCTTACCTCTTCTTACAAAAAAACTGAGTTTATAACTATTTATCTATCCAAGGACAAATCGAAATACGCCCATGGACAGAAAACTGATTATAGGCACAATGTTTAAAATGTAACTGGTAGTTTACATTTTTAAGAATAAAATAATGGTACGAAGATCTGCTACCTTAAGACATTAACAGCCTCTAGTCCGGTCAAAACAGACATTCAACATCACAATCATTCGCATAGGGCTGAAAATTCGTACTATGTATTAATGAGAACACAACCTTTCAACTTGTTAGTGTAATTCTTCTTAGTATTACTTTGACGGAAACAACCTGTAAGACCATTTCTTATACATAATAAATGATTTATCTGAATCTCTGAAATCTGAATTTTTGTTATTGAATAACCTTAATTAAAAAAGGGTTTTCCTAACTAAATTGCTTTAATTTAAATTTTCAATTAGCACTTCTTGACCGGACTACTCTTACTTACAACCTCTTTTTAGCTTAATTCTAAAACAACGAGATATTTTAAACTTAAACACAATGTTTTACTTAAGACACTTCAATTATAATTAGTTGAATTCCACGCAGTTGATCTCGCGGGTAGCATGAGCCACTCTTGTAATACCACGTAAGCATTACGTATAGTCTTTGAGAGGAAGTCTCTAGGAAAGGCAGTAAACACCAACCCCATCATCATAATGAGCGTAATTAGGCCAATTGAGACTTTAGAATCATCGACTTATGTACTGTTGTCTATTAACGCCTTGTGCCGTCTTAGATGTGCCATTACATGTATTAAGTCTTGTTTGAACCGACTTAAGCACACAGAGAATATATCAATGCAGAAATGTGTCGTGTTCATTTATTTGTAAAATTAAATTTCCCCACCTCAGGCCACCCTCAGATATATCTTACGAAATCAGTGTTTTCAAAGATGATTAAATTAGTGGGATAAATCTATGACAGTACAATAGCCAAGCCGATAGCTTCTACACTGTCCGAATAATTTGTACTGAATATTTTGTTTGGGAAATTTATGAGATGGGTCAAGCATATCACTTTCTATAGGTATAAACACTCTTACGCAAGAAGGTGTTTCGGTGCGTGCATTACAAGGCGTCATCTTTAACATGCTATCTTAAATACAACGAGTGCAACAATTTCGAATACAATTATAACAATTGGATATCAAATTTACTTACACTTAGATTTGATCACAACTATATTATTTTTCTGACATGTATGTATGTATACATTACATATCATATACTCGTAGGTATATAAGTAAATTAACAACGGGTTTCAAAAACTTTCACATTATCCATTCAGAGCTTGAAATACAGGCACAAAATATGATAACAATTGCAGATTCCATTTCTTCACTCAGTATATTCTGAACACTGAAATAAATTTACATTTTAAGATCAATGTTCAAAGATGCCTTATTTTCTGGAACCTGATTCTGTACTTGTGGTGTCCCATGCAAACGAATGTGTTCTAAATAACGTTTCCTATTCTCTGGATTGTTCATTACTGTTTCTACGAATTCAGATGTTTCTTTTTTTAATGCTATGATCTTTTGTTGTATCAGTCTGTTCTTGTGCATGAGAGCAACTGTTTTCCACGCTAGTTCGAGGATGACTCTGTTCTGGGCCTGTTTGTCCACCGTTGGAGGACACGGGGCCGTGGTATTGTCATCTCTCGCTGATGGTAATGAGAATCGTTGCAGTCTCTGCAAACGTCTCGCTTCTCGCAAGCGGGTGAGATGAGAACCTGTAAAGACAAAAAAAATGTGTAAGCTCCTTTTCAATTAAAAATTAATAGTTGGGAAAAGACTTTTAAAGCTTTGTTATTTTTTGTATACCTTTTTAATAATTCTACTTTTGTAAGACTAGAATGCCTAAGAGAAAATGCTAACTATACCAAACTAAACGTAGTACATACATGTACATAAATATAAGACGTTGTTTTGCTTAACACATAGATATTAAACAAAACCCAAATCAATACAAATAGACATTGATCAATACAAATATTTGCACACACAACACGTGACATGTATGATTTATTGTATTGAAATGTGCCACGTGTTCTATGTAGCACAAAATCAAGTATTTAATATGTGGAGCACGTTTTTAAATATCATCATTAACATCTCTGTGGTGAGCAGTCTCCTGCCATGTCATGAACTGATTTTAATATCACCAAGTTGGCACGGGCACATTTGCATGAGTTATCGTCAAGATGACGTTGCATGGTGAGCAATGCCTATAGTCACTCGTAACTTTAAATGAGGTCACTCCCACTAAGGCTTTTGCCTTATTTCGTCACCGTTAGTTGCAGAAATATATAGTAAATACCACAGAAGTGGCTAGTACATATGTGCCGGAGGGGGTCTGGATAAGCCTCAAAGAGTGTTGGCGTTCCTAATATCATATGAATTATATAAACTAATATTGAATCCTTAAGCGTAAAGTAGGTAAAAATCGTTTCATTACTATTTTATTGAAATATGGTTTAGTGTAAACGATAATGAATCTTTAATATTATATTCTTTCTTTCAAAATATCCAATGGCACTGCAGAGAAATTAATTCAGTTTTGTAAATCAATTGCAGTGAGACAAATGTTGATCTACCGACAGTCTTAATTCCATACAAGGACAACCATAAAGTTTCGAAATCAAGGTATCTAATTATTAAATAGCTTAATAAATTATTTGTACCAAATAAAATATTACTATATAATTGCTAAATTGACCTAACTAAAATATGAGTTTAAAATTGTTCATAATATCCTAATTCCTTACGGTGTAATATATTATTATTGAAACAAATATATGTTTCAATAATAATATATTACACCGTACGATGCCCTAAACACATCCATTTCAAATGTAAAACAAAAAAATACCGTAAAATATATCACGTAATGTCATGAACTCACATTTATATATTCGACATAGCCATTTATACTCAACAATGATTTAGAAATCATTAACCGATAAGCCCAAAAACATGTTATCTATCATGCACCAAATATTTATTGTTAGTTTTGAATAGCTTGCAGTAATATTTTTCCTATCAATCCAAAAAGACAAACTAACATTGCAAGATGCAGAAAAGCTTTTAAAGTGATTCTTCTGAAGAATATTCAAGTCACGTTACTGCACTGTGTGCGTTCAAAAACTCGCCAACAAAAACAGCGATGCGCGTGTACCGGCCACGTGACGAACGCCGCGTGGAAGAGAGTATTATATTGTAATACTGCAGTTTAAGACTGCATAAGTTCTGCAACGTGATGAAATTCAAGGGGATGGAAATGGCGGGAAATTGTGCAATACCGAGAAGATCGGCGGATCGTTACATTAATAAACGTCACGTTTAAAAAACACGAGAGTTAATTGTTGATTCCTCGAAATCGTTTTATGTATCAAGCTACAGCTTAAAGGGATCCTGATGTAGAAAAACGTATACTTTATTTTTATCTATTAGTAATGTTATTCATATTGTAAATTATCTGACTTCAGATCACACTGGTCCGACTGTTACTTAAAGGTCGTTATCTCGTTCGAAGGATAAGAGATTATGGTTTGAAAAGGACACTTAAGTTATTTTTCCACGTTGCCTGGCAGTTCTACGAAGTAATACTCCAAAAGTTTTAGGTAATTTCACAAGTACTCTTTTTAATGCTGATGTAATATTACACACGGTTTCGACAGCAGCCCTTCACTTTTCCTTGAGTTTTTCCAATGAAGTAATTTATACTTATACTTTAAATACATTATCTTGGTATGTTTAAAGTTTTTGTTTGACAGGTGAAAAGTGTAACAAGAATTTCGAGTTCTGTGTTTCTTAAATTGTAATAGCTACTTAAATGAGGTGGGAGAGTGCTACTTCGGCACAAATGGCTCGACATGGAAGTAATTGCTACTTTTAAATCAGACATATTCATTTGATGAAATGATCGATTTTAGTCACAGAGATTTCACATGTGATTGTGATTTCGTCATAGACACAGATAAATGCCACTAATATCAATCAAAATTCTTTTTATTAAAGATTACGACTTGTTTCTAGATTTAGACCTTTCGCGAGTCTTGCGCTAGGGTAATAATAATAATAAGTCGCAGTGGTATCGTAAAATAGTCACAGGTGTGATTATATGACTTATAAATTATATTTTTTATCACATATGATTGTGATTTGATTCCATCCTTACTCGACGATAAAGGTACGACTAGTGCTTTTTTTTTTATAACGTGTGGGACCCATGGGCCGTCACCCACCGGGGATTACGGCTGGATGGTGTTTCGGCATCCACAAAAACCACACGGTGCCACTCAGCGCCTGTAATAGGAGGGATCCGAGAACTGCTATTATTAAGACATCCGGACCACCGGAAGTAGGTTATAGGAGCAATATTTTTCTGAGGGAGGAATCATGACTATCTTGATTAAGAAATTATGAATTATGATTATCTTGAGTAGTAGATGTCCGTGGGTGGCGGTACTTACTTACCTTCAGGTGCCCCGTTTACTCGTTTGCCTCTATACAAGTGCCAATCAAATATTAGGGGTAGAAAAGGTAATAAAGACTAGTTGCACTTAATTTAGCAAAATATATAACTAGTCTGTGAATTCATTTGCTATTATCGATAAATAAGTGACCAGTAGCGCCGCGCGCCGCTTGTGTTAATGAGCTAAAAATAGCACAAGTTTTGTTATATTGAGCTCGAGCATGAAATGAAGTGGTATTTCTTTTGTGGATCAAAGAGTTACATAGGACGAATTCTTAATAAATAGGCAACCTTGCATACTTGAAGAACTGTCTATATTATGTATGTCGACTATACGTTACGCTTGTTAAAAAATACATGTATAGTACTAATACTTTTTAAATATATGTATAGCCTTAGCCTTATCTATCATCTAGTAAGTAATTTTTATCTTAAAAAGAAGAAAGGAATCGGAATGCGTCCAACATTTTTTCAATATAATGTGTTGATAGTTTAGGGCAGAATAGCTGAAAACCCGCGTATTGTCTTAACATACATGCTTAACATACTTAACGCGTAAATTTGCTTCAATAACGGTAAACTTTGTCACTCGACAAAGTGAGGCGCTACGCGCGAGTTTCGATGACGTAACCTCGGTGCGGGTTAACGAACTTTCACCCGCGCAACTATGGTTGTCCATTAAGCGTAAGTACCTACTATTTGAATTGTTTGAATTTCAATTCTATGCGTTTGTTAATACATTCAAATATACGTTGTAGTGTTATTGTGAGTAAATACGCACTTGCGAACATCATGTGCGTGTGTAGTAAACACGTGACTGTGTAGGTGTACACAAAGGTTTGATATCAATAACATTTTTCTCCCTAAATTTTATCTTTGGTTTATTATTCTACTAACTCAAGTTTCGTTATTGCTCTAGTTGAGTCTAGTTATCTATTGTGCAAGGATGTGCTGTGGTCTACTGTGACTCTACCTACGCCAGTTAAAGCAGATGATGATAGCCTATATAGCATTGAATATTTTATATAATAAAAACAGTTTTAACAGGTCACTAGTCTTAGTTTACATTTACATGATTGGCACTGAGAGAATTTGAACGAAATTAAATTACAGTGCCGATCCTCCACTTGTGTAGTCACAACTGAATCCAAGGAATATAAAACATTAATATACCTATATCCTGTAATACTTTACCAGTGACATATATTCCTATTTAGAATCCTAACAATGTCAAGATGGTATGTGTACCTACGCTTCATAACTCAAAAAAATATGTACCGGTTGATCTCAAACTTTGACACGATATACAACACGTTTCAAACAATGTTTATATCAATTTTTTACAACCAAAATATGCGAAGTGTGGCAGGGTGTAGCTAGTTATTGATAATTATTAAAAAAATAAACACGTTGAATTAAATTGATTAAATTATTAATTACAATAGCGAATGGGTCACATACTACAAAATACAGATGACCCTAAACATAACTTTACACCTCAATAAAGTACTGCGAATTGCAAATTGCAAATGTGTAGAACGTCATGAATAATTTGTGATTATCAAAATTCCGCGTTCACCTAGTTTTTATAAAACAGTAGTAATGGTAATACTATGTATTTATTACAACTGCGACTATTGATTATAAAATTTAATTTAAAATAAAATTTAAAGTTTTAAAGAATTGAATAGTTATATCTTTGACTCAACTACATATTTTATTTAATATAATCAATTATTGTAACCTATAAAAAATCGTTTAATTTAACAAACGCTACTTGGTGAAATTAATTAAAATTTATTAAGGAATACGAACTGCTTTATGACATTCATAAACATCAATTAACATACAGCTTTCATTTCTGTTAAATAATATGAGCAATCTTTTTATTAATAATAGTTATAATCAAATGATTTTAGTGATATGAATAATGTGCACGTGAAATAACTATTTGCCAAACAATATGTATTTATTCTGCAATTTAAATGTTAGGCGCTATTACAATGCTATTATCATCGGTATCTACAGAATTATTCATGTAAACTTGAAACTTTATTTTTGAGACAAAGACACGCATTCTACTTTTCTTTTTATAATATAACGGGCTGCTCGTATGAGTATGATGCGTATGATGCTCGTTGACAGTATCCAAAGCTTTGTCGAAACTAATTTAGCCTTACTCCTTTCAATTTATTTCCTTATTTGAGAGGGCGATTTCATATATCATCAGTACCGTGAGATAAGTTTTTTTGTTTACAGAAATTGCATTTCTCACCGAGTTGTTTGCAAATACGGCGTGGGAACCCAAACAAATTGAAACAATTAGTACAATGGATTCCACAGTGTTTTATAAACTATGAACTATGGATGTGTATGTTGTGTTTTTATAAATCTAATAATGAATAGCTCACTGCTCAGATATCTCTTAAACATATTCTATTCAAAATATTTATTGTCTAGATGAGTGAGAATAAAATAAACTTTCACTCATTCATTCAATTTTATTAGTACGTAATACACATACTATCTTATGCCAAAATTTTACTGCTAAAATAAAAATAAAACACTAAGTTAATGTATACTTTTTAAGGTCCTTCCACACACCTATACCTTACTTACTATAAAACCCTTCTACGTCTATAATATAAATTCTTACGTTTGAACGTCATTGTCCGAGCTTCATTAGACACGTACTCGTAAATAATAGAATCGCAGTAAATAGTTAATGAATACTGATAGCTGAATCGCTTGTAACGCGCTAACTTCGCCTATACTCGTATTACGCGCCTACGAATGCGAAGGAAGAGGTGACCCACACTTTTCCGATAATAATTTAATCACACTCACAGAATAGGGGGCAAAAGTATTGGATACCAAGCACTTTAGAAATTAAAGAATTTAATATTATTCGTTAATGAAAGGCAGTGTAGGGAAAGGCTTTAATGAACGCATTAGGGAGTGTAAATGGAGTAATAGCTCGAGCAGAATAAGATCCTATTCCTGCAATCCTTGCTAGCCATCATTGTTGGGATATCCGAGGCGTGTAACAGAACCGGAGTTAAAGAAATATTCATCTTACTCGAACAAGTTTTATCTTACCTTCAAATGAGACCCTGTTATCTCAGTGCATTGTATAATTTACTAGATACCGTAAACCAAAACAATGGTTTGCAGCGAATTACGACAATAATATCCATTGTATATAAAGTAGAAATAACCTTGTTTATTTACTATTCAGTATTGGTAAGTACTTGAGGCACACTTGAACACATAATCAATAAATTAGGCGTCCTACACTTTGCGGACTTACCCACTCAATAAAATAGTATTTAGTATTGTTAGACGTTTATCATATTTTATTATCAGTATAAGGCGAGTATGTCGAGCAGTGGACTAGTAAAGGCTGCTGATGACGATGATCATAAGGAGAGCAGACAATTTATTTTCGGGTTAGAATAAAAGTTTCTATAAATATAATAGCTTACAAATAAATATTAAAATAAAGATGGTAACTGACCATTTTAAAAACTTAGGGTTTTTAAAAGTATAGTAAGTGGTGGCAGACTTTCGGTGTGTAATTACATAAACTATGTGTAAAAATAATAATAAGACGCAACTGTTTAAATTTTTAATTAAAAAAATGACAATCGTATACTATAAATACAAATAAATGCCAATATATTTTTAAGCGGTTTTTCCTTCCTCCAAAAGAGTAATGAAAAATTAATATCAGCAACAACATTGGATATTTATGGACCGGTAAATGACATAACTTAACTTTTATACCTCAAAAGTGTCCTTCCTTATTCTTTTGAGATTTTTGTATTGTGTATATTTAAACGACAAAAAAAGTTGGCTTATCGACTCAAAAATTGCAAGTGCAGAATGGTCTGATAAGCATTTCGGATTTTAATATATCAAGTTGCAACATTTTAGATTTTTTAAGACGGCAAAACTGTGATTTTGGCAAAAATGTGTTTTTATAGTTTACTGTTCTCAAATTAGGGAAAAGGTCCTAGATGGTCTTCCAAACGTCAGTGTTTTCATATTATTATTTTACATAAAGTCACATATAAATAAATGTTTCCATACATTAGTGTGAATTTCCAGTCACGAGGTTACTTTGATAATTTAATTATTGATGTACTCTTAATTGTATTTATAGCAGAGAGTTATCATGACTGTGTATTTAAGGTACACACATAGTCACTGAAGCTAGGCAGGCTATATGATAATTTGTTCTGTATATTTAGTTTACTATTTTTCTACAAGTTTTCTACGAGGACTAAGTTAGTTAAGACTAATTACGAGGACAAAAAAAGTTAAAGTGGTAAGTTTACTCTGTACCGCTGCAAAAAAATTTAAACTTTCATAAATTGAAGTGCAGTAATTTACGTAAACAATTTGTGTCGAACTAGAAAGTATGTCTAAAAGTGATTTAATTTGTATTTGATTACCCCTAGATAAGTAAGTTAGCGACTGGTTTCAACACAGGATAGATATGTGAAGAACTCGCTGACAATTCTTAGAACAAAACGATAATTCAAATAATGGTCTAAATATCGGCAATAAACTGCAAACAACGGTTAGACATCTGTTTTGTGTATGAGACTTGTGATTCGTAATGATTACTGATTACTCACGCTTATTAAAATTACACGTATAATTTGAATATTATCGATAAAATTGAATCGCAATTTACTTTGTTCAGGTTATGTGTAGATTACCTATTGTTAACATCACAATGATGTTGGGCTTCAGCTTTCTCAGTAGGTAAAGGATATATGTATATTGTAATATAAAACCGGATCGTGTAAAGTGTTATTTTAGCTCCCTTATCATATAATATTACGATTACTGCCAACCGTTTTTATAAAACTAGGTAAAATAGGTGCTTGACTTTGTTTTTTTAAGACAATAAGTGTCGTAATTCTATTTATTTCTATATGCGACTTTTTTCTTAGATGCAAATTAAGAACAGTTGTGTAAAAAATATGTAAAACCGACTCTTAAGCACCATTTATGTCTGGGTACATTGAGTTAATATATCAATGTCTGGGTATAAGACCGATGGAAATGGTCAGTACTTGTTCTGTCCAATTCCAATAGCACTGTATCATTTCTTAGAAACACGTGCAATATGAAATGTGGCATTTGCGGTAGGTCAGTTATAGGCATGTAGATATACGCAACGTTCTCAAGGTCTATGTCGCCGTCGTCATAAATAGCGTGTGTTGATATGAATATATTTCAATAGGCCTAGAGGAATAAACTGATAACAGAAACAAGATATTTTCTAAGTTTTACCACTTTCATACTTTTCTTTCATTTATTGGTACACAAGTACCAGGTACAAACCTACAACATTTAATTCGAGAATTGTGTCTAATAATAATAATAAACTTATTCATAATAAAATACCACTGTTATACATTACAACATACAATTTTTGACTTGTAACTGGGTAGCTATATTAACTAATATATATGGATGCAGCTTAGATTATCAAGTAATTAATCTAAGGGTGTTACTTTTACAAGGTTGTTTTTGACAATTGTAGGGAGTTCATCTTCAATTATCGAACCAATTCCCTCAACCATATAAGCGTGCATGGCGGAGAAATGAGATTGAAAATAAGTTAAGGGTTTTTAAAACAGGTACATACCTATCTACTCGTAGGATATTTTTTGTTTACCAAACGCTTGTCACGAATTGCATCTAACTGTAGTCAAGGGTTTAGTCTAATGCCAATGAAAATGATTTACAATATGCTAATACGTGTAATAAAGCTATTTTTTTTTAAATATTTGTTAGTTGACTTTGACATCCTGAGGAACGGAGGAGTGACCTAGTCTTCTAGGTGAACGGCTAGTCTTCTTGTATATATTTAAATGAATTGCTGTTCGTTAGTCTTACTAAAACTCGGGAATGGCTTTACCGATTTGGCTAATTTGGTCCAGGGAAAGTTTAAACGGTGTAAAAATAAAAAAAATAATCTTGTTTATCGTGAAGATAATCCAAAAGTGTACACGTGTACGAAGTAGTGGGCACAGCTAGTTTCTAATAAATTAATAAATACATAGCTCACCAGACATAGCATAGCTCAACAGACGATATATGTGAATGTTACGTGATATTCATTCAGGTAAAGGTTTTTAATCTTACACATTATTTTATATTAAACTATTTTGATCGAGTCCTAAGTAAGTCCTAAATAGTATTAACCTTATATAAACTTGGCACATGAAATTTTACAAAACAATAAAAAAATGTACATGTAGCTATATCTACAAGGTGGCCTGGGCCTGTACAAAATTTGCAATAAGTTGGTTACTACATATAGAAAGCTCTGTGATTTCTTGATTATAGGTTTCGATACAGTATGAAATACTAAAGGAATAAAACTAAATTAAACTTAATAGTGATACAAAGTTACTGTTTTTAATTAAAACAAGGTAAATTAAAACGTTTTTAATTCACACAAAAAGGAAATAATACGCGTTTTCATGTATAAATTGCAGCGAAGCCTATCCTTGATCGACGAATCTGATCACAGAAAACCAGACTGTATCAAATACACGTATCAGTTACTTACCTCTCTTTATTTTTCTGATCCTTTTTTCACACATATTTGCAAATTACAGCTTGTTATCACTGGTTAAACACAACCTTAATGTATTAACAATTTCCAAACAACTATCACGTTTCCGAGGGAAGAGCGCGTGCGAACTGTGTCGATATCGGACGTAGAATGACTCGTCGTTTGAAAATCGAACGCTGTTGAACTGTCTTTGTAGCGTCTGTCCGCGTGGCCTACACGCGTAGAGAGGGACGGAGGAAGGTGTTGTAGTGTCATGGATTTGGTTACCCTAGCAGAAAAAAAGTAATGATATCCCTACGCATTGTTAAATAATTATCGCTCGCAATGATCAAATGAAAGTATGCTATGAAGTTTCGTAACGTTTGCTGATAAATTGAATTTTGATTTAACCCGGCGCCATCCAGGTAGAAAATTTTGAACACTAACATCGACGTTGGTAGAACAGTAACATCGACGTTGGGTCAATTACCGTGTTTAGAAAATAGCGTATTTTGGAAACTAACTCAAAATCTTAATACATACTTAGATTTTATGAAAGAGACAATATAGTTTTATACATTTGTAAAAGAAAATAAAAAAAAAGTATGAACTAAAAACATTTATTGGTTGTATTTTAAAGATACCTACTATAAAAATATTAACAAAAATAGAACATCTTCTTTAACCCTTTTGACCTTAAAAATATAAGATATTTTGCTTATAATATAGTTAAATAAGATAAATTTGACTAAGATCTTGAATAAATAACCATAAAAATTATAATTATGACGTCAGAATGAATCTAACAATCGTCATCTTCATTGTGCGCAGAAGGGAATTACGTATTTAGGTCTTTCTGTCCTTTGTTGCCTGGACATTTTTGGCACCCTCTACGAACACTTGGTTGGTGGTTCGTCAGGTGTTTCACCTCTGAATTCCCTGATCCTCTTGCGCATGTTGCGTTGGAATTTTTGAAAGGTTTTGAAAACCTAATGTTTGCTTATGAGATTTGATTCGACGAGGCTGGTATTTACCTTGATTCTCTGTGTATTACGCTATTTATGCCGGTTATGTTCAGCAAAGCATAATTTTTAGTTTATTTATATAACTTTAGATTATAAGACTCACACCAATGTATAAAAACTGTATTTTTACTATGTTTTATTGTACAAAAAAAGAGTTATCTATCTATCAATAGTTGAAACCAATTCTTTGAGTTGATAACATCAAATGTCGAACACAGATCATCACATTCTGGCGTAACCGCGTACAGTACCTACAGTTGTCAATTTAAGTCCCACTACAATGGCACATAATTGTTACATTTAATGCCAGATTGGGTCAAATTTACCTTTTTTTACTACGCGGATGTATAGATCTCGTTATTAGCGCACAATGACTTAGATACACTGCAAAACTAATAACACGAAGTCTTATCTCCAGCTATAACAAAAATCAATTTGTTTGCCTAACTTATTTCGAAGATAAGTGCCATTAAAACAATGTTCGGGTCATAATAACCCAACGTAGACAGCGCCGGGTTAAAGATTTGACTACGAAAGTAAATTCAAATTCTCCGACAGTCCGACACAGCCATCGGTGATTTCCGCACAGAAAAAAACAAAAAGGTACTAAATACCTTCACTATTACTAATACTTCAAATTAAAATATAATTCTACAGTAATAATTACATAAATATTATATATTACAAAAATGATTTTAATCTTTTGTTACTGGTATGTACTTTTGAATCTATATATTTCTTCATATTAATAGGCGAATAGAATTATTTATCTCTACTTTCACACAAATGTTTAATGTATTTTAGAGGCTAAGCATTTTTAACAATATGTGTTATAAATTTTAAAATTATGTAAAAAGGCTACAGAAATATATGTGTAATATGTGTGTAAAGTAATACTTTTTATTCTATTAAAAAAAATGTCTATAATGCATAAGATCTCTAATTGTAATCTTTTTTTTATGTTTACAGTGGCTTCATGCCGATAAACCTAAAAGGTAGAGCACTAGAAACGTTACTGAGAGATAGTTTCGATTAAAATGCACCCATCAGAAATGCAGAAAACCGTGGTATCCCACTGTATGTATCATTCCAATCATATTTACATGAAAGCATGTGTATGACAAAACTCTTAATATGATATTCTAAAATCTAGTTGTAAATCAACCAAAGAGTATGTAGACTACTCTACTACTAGTAAAGTACTAATCTCATGAAAAAAGTGTTCCATTTTGTGAGTTCGTATATGCGTTCGTATATATGTTCGTTCTGCTGATTCATACAAAATTTTCAAGTAAACAATTCTTTAACAGATTTCAATGCCCAGTCTTAAACTGGATATATAAAAAAAAGGTTGAAAAACAGTCCCCTATCTCTCTCTATTCAACTTTCAATTATGGTACTTAATTGTCTATCGTGGTAACAATTAACAGTCGCTCGTCACTATATGAAACAATAATAACTAATGCTAAAAATAAAAACAATGAAAAATGACATAGAAAATATTTGTATTAAGTATTCTTAATGAGGATAGTATACATTATCTGATATGCCTTATTATATTGTAGCTCCAAACATATTAATCAAAACAATATCGTTTAGGTCTGCTCGTAGCTACTCGTACTTAAAATAACAATATCTTTTATTTTATTATATGGCTGATCAATTCTATATTAAGTAAGGATAGAGATATGCGTATTAAACTCCTAAATTTTGCCGACTATAACCGTCAACCAGATACTGTAGGAATCAGATGGAAAAATTTGGACTATTATTGAAAAGGTAATAAATGTTTGACAGCCTCGGTGGTGCAGTGGTAGCGTGTGCGACTGATAATGAGATAGGAAGGAAAGGCAATGGTAGGATAGGGGTGTTGTTTATAAGGATTGATCAAAGAACATAGGCAATAGCTCGAAAACGTTCGGGTTGTGGAACTATAACTCGAAGTGGCTGTTGCCGAACAGTCCAAACCTTAACTTAACTAATATGATGTCTATATTTAAAGTAGTTATGGGAACAACCCTATGCGGCATCGGTTTTAGGTATTTTTATCTATATCTCTTTTTTTATTTATTATTTGTATTTGTTTTTTATACTGTATTCAATACCTTAATGATCTTTTTTTTTAATTTTATTAGTTTTTTTTTTGCATTTTTTGTATCGATCTAGCTAGACAACCGCTTAGCATTCCTTAGAAACCTTCGTGGGTTAGAAAATGCTATCCATATAAATTTTTGTTATTATTTTGTTTACACCTTTGAATGAATAAAAGAAAAGATATTATGTCAGTCCTCAATTGTTAATCACATGTTCTAAAAGAAAAAAAAATAAATTCTAATTTTAATTATTTTAGAAGTAGTACTTCATTCGGCGAATCACTAATTAAATACACAGTATTCTCAGAAATTGTTATTTACACACATTAGCAGACCAGTATTTTTCGAAAATTCAGATGAAGACTTTTACAACGACAGTTCAAGAGTACCCTATTACTGGGCATCATTTTCTTACTGCATGTTGACCTTAACTGATATATTGAAACCGAATAACAGAATAAAATCAACTTGCTTACATTTAAACTTTCCCCACTTTTTACCAGATTTACCCCTTCTCGACTAGCAACCCTTTGTAAACACATTCGCTCAGGTCAGGAATTGCTCAGCGCGTGAAAAAACACGTGCGGTTGCATGTTTTGGGGACTGCTGGCTGCTATCTGTCGGCCACACGGACGTACTAAACACGTTTTACTGTATCACATTAATTTAGCTAGTGACGGTAATTATCATTCGTAAATAACAACAAAAATTGATTTTGACAGAGTTCCTTTCAATCGACGATACTAATATTTAACCTAAATAATATTAGAATGTTTGTTTTTTTTTTTAAATTTATTGTTTGTATTTCTGCACTACGTTACTAAATTCTTCACGTAATATACGTCAACCCTACTATAATGCAGGATACCATACTTAAGCCTTAGAATTAAAACCCACAAGACCAATGTTGCAATCATTGAGTACTATAGAATTTAAAAATAAAATTTGCGGGATATATTACTTAATGTACCGTGCAAGCTTTGACTGGCCTACCTATAATTAAAATCACTGTGTTGGTTCCCCTTAAATCTAGACTATCAGGCATCATTTCTACTGACTGGTATTTAAATTAAATATATGTTAGTGCTTCATACCTTGACAATAAACTAGCACTATAATACTACGATTATCTATTAGCGCCATATTTGGAAACCTTCCGAGTAGGTGTAACATGTTTGGCCCATTTCAATATTATTAAGTTTTTAGACCCTTTTCCGAATGACTGTGTCACTACCTTACAGGTATACTTTTTATGGTCTAATTTGATTTCGAAACTAAAATGATCGATTACACAAATTGCCATTTAACTAAGTTTCTTGTTTGTTTTTCAGTATTACGTGTGAATTAGAAAATTGTAAAGAAATATTATGTAATATCCTTTACTAAATATTTCACCCATAAGATTCTATTTAGTTATTACATGGATAACGTTTGATGAAAACTATCACGCCCAGTACGATCATATAAATAGTAAAAGTACTAGGTAATCTTCTGGCTTGGTTCTCTACAAAGGAACGTGGTTGTCCATGAAGGGTTTTACTATTCGCGAGAATATAACGCTTTAATGGTAAGCAGACACCTATACCTATAAAATGCAGGTTTACAACGGTTAATATACAGAATGAAGTTGCATTTCCAGTCAGTCACCATCAATTCCAGATAAAAGTCTTAATTTTTTCTTCAAGGTGTAATATACACCTTTGGACCTCCATGTTCTGTAATATACGTATAAAGATATATAATATACGCATGCCTTAGTTTGTCGAAGACTTGTCGAAACGCCAATCAATTCTAAGGTAAATATTAGCCATTACGTGATCGAATTAATTCCCATAAACATTGCTAGTAGCATATCCACATATTTACGGCTTCAAGTTGACGCACGTTGTCGGTGACGTATGCGCAGGCGGCGCTCGCGCAACGTGGGCACG